GACAATGACGGAACTTTGTTCCAACAGCAGATGGAGTATAGTTCTGTGAATTCGTTATGTGTGGCCGATCGGGTAAGAAGCAAAGATAAACTTATCTTCATTGGTTGCTTCCTGTTGTCTGTTTCAGTTATATATATATATATATATATATATATAGGAATTATGTCTACCCTCAACACAACAAATACTCAGTTGTAATTCCGATCTTCATTCCTGCTACATGTTTCGGCCGTACAAGACAATTATCAGGCAGTCAATAAGTTCGTGGAATGGCCGCAAAGCGTCGTGCGGGAATTTCCTGCCAATATGTTTCAGCAGTGTTTTCGGCAGCTATATCAACGTTGGTAGACTTGCATAGCGGCCAACGGCAATTACTTTGAGGGCCGATGTGGATCTGTGTAAGTGTATGTGAATACCTTGCAATAAAATGCGATAAAACCACAGTCCACGAACTTAATGACCGTACCGCGTATATAGGAATACGTACAGCTATTGAACTACCGATATGGGTCCATATCAACGCAACGCGTCTATTATATATTAACATAAAACTTTTTCCTCAAGTTGGTGTTACAATTGAAGTAGAAGATACAAAATAAGATAAAAGATAAATATAAAAGGTATACCATATATCAAAATTTATAATGTGTTTAATATATTATAAAATATTAAAAATATATTAAAGAAAAATTTTAGTATGGTAGGTTAAGGATGTGTATGCCAACTTAAATACTAAAGTTCCAATGCTACGGTGTAGAAATTGGGCACGTTATCCTGCGTTTAATTAACTCAGCACTATGCCATAAAGTCATAAAGTGGGTGGAGTTACAGCTCCACCCTCCTTGAACTCGGCACTAGATACGATGCAGTATGAACCGCGCCTGAAATGATATCACTGACAATCTATACGTGACTGAATGGCGGTATGCGTCTAACGTTAAGAGCTGCACTTTATTTCTATAGGGAAATACATGCATAAAAAGGTAAAGCTGTGTCTGAAACAGGCCAAGGAGGCCCATACGGTTATGAGACGTCGAGGTTCCAACATTTTCTAGAAAACAGGCTCACAGTTGGCGGTAAGGTTGTCAGCCTTACGCGCCGGCCGCCCTTTAGCCCCCATAAAGATTCCTGGTACTCATTTCTGTTAAAGGCTGAGTCGACCCCAGGGCCATAATGACTCTGTAAGGATTAGGCAAACTGAAAAAATCCAGCGACTTATTCGGGAATCGAACCCGCGACCTTCCGGCTTGTAGCAGAGTGCCTTAATCAACTGCACTACCGTGAGCCAAATATAAATAATATTAATATTATAAGTAGTTAGATCATGGTACGAGGAAGAGTCAGTAAAGAGGTCACAAATGGATATAAAACGTAAAATATATGATATCCGAACCCGAAAAAAATATTTATTTCTCGACATACCAACATTGATAGTTGTCCCATTGCTTTACTAGTGCGTCGAAACCCGCAGGATAGAAATCCTTTGACTGTTGTCTGAGCCACTTCCGCACCTCCGTCTCAACCTCTTCACCATCAGCGAAACATATGCCGTGTTTCTGGACCCAGTTCTGAACAGCTTTATGCGACAAACACTTCCTACCGTAAACAGGAAACATTTCTTTATGAATCTCTTTTGCCCCCCACCCACACACACAAATAAACGCACAACAGCACACTGCTCTTCGGTAGTACACATCTTAAGCACGGTCGCCATTTTGACTACTGAAACCAACCTCTGAAAATGCGCATGTGCGTCTTCTACATACAATGTCACGAAGCAGGACTGTACTGCTACCTAGTGATACAGATAGAAAACATATTACGTCCATTGCACCTGTTTTACATCCATTTGTGACCTCTTTACTCATTCTCCCTTATATGACTTGGATGCCTGAACTGATCACCATGAAACCATCTCACCGGCGTACTTAACAAATCCCTGTCGTCAGCAGTACCAACACTACTGCCTCTCAAAATGTAGTATCAAATACTCAATTTGAAGTGAAATGAAGTTTGACGATTTGTTCTCTGCAGAAATTTGGTTTTGTTAAGTGAAAATTAATTTTTGCTGCTCTATTGTTCATTTCGCGGCCATTACTTGCCAGTAATGTGGACATGGTATGCACCTAAGTAAATCAAATTCTTTTGAGAACTAAGAAACCAATTAATATTTTCGCCACAGTCTCTGGAAATTTCGTCTCATTAATTATGAGGATGTTTCGGGAAAGTTCATCTGGCTTTAACTAAGGGGGAGAAAGGACGGAATTTCTCGTGTCCTGAGGCTTGTGCTGGCCCTGATTTAGGCTGTGCACAAAAGATACACGTGCCGGAAGATAAAAGAAAGATGATCATCCACAAACGTTCGCTGACCTAGCGAAGGTCTCCATATCTAGACCTTGAAATAGAGGTCATTAATGGATTTCTCATGTTTCTGGACCAGCGGGGCACAACAAATGTGTTAGTCACCGGCGAGTAGACAATTACGTAAGAGAAAGGCCAGCTGGAACGATTAGTTTGAAAATGGAACATGTTCAATGGGAGAAATGCGGACATGTTCCCTTCTTCACCGAACCGAATCAATTACTCGTAAACTAAAGGATCCTAAACAAAAGTAATGCAATATACACGCTTCACACTTTCCGCCTTCTGATCAAGAATAAAGAGAACCTGACGTCACAACTAGCGTCCATCGTTTGAAACTTCAATGCCGTATCGTAGCTATGTCGCAGTACCGCTGCATTATAATGAGATTTCACACTTGCATAACTGGTCTCTCCCTTTATCGCAAAAACCGAGCAGGTTAGTATGGAGGTAACGTTCTCGGCTCGTCTTAGTTTGAATTTCGGACGAAACGTCGGCCATATCGATAGAATGTTAGTGGCTTGCTTGAGTTCCTCAGGTAACTGCCTAGGCAGTAGCTTCATCAGGCCACGACAACTTTATAATTCTTCCAAACATTCGATGCTCCGATCGAGTTCAGAGGACGAAAATAAATAAATAAATAAAGATTATAGAAAATCCGAAAATTCTTAATTAATCGAAATATATAATAATGTACGTTTATCTTAAGTTCTAAAGGTTTCAAATTTTTTAAAAGTGTAAGGTTTTAAAATTTTCCAAAATTTTCGAAATTTAAAAAAAAAGGAAAATATTACAAAAAAACAAAAGTCTAGAACTTCCGAGAATATTCCAAAATTGTTTATGAATTACAATTTTGAAAATTTAAGCTTTTGAAAGTTTCTAAATTTCAAAATTGAACAACTGTTCGAAAAAACAAAAAAAAAAAAAAACTTGTTCTAAATTTCAAACATTGGAGGAAGAATTTCTTGAACAGTTGGAGAAGCCTATTATGGTATAAATTTATAAAAAGGGCGATAAAACTGACTAGTAATTACTGCAGATATGACTGCTATCAACTTCGTAAAAATGTTATCCTATATCTTTCTCACAAGATTAAGTTCATATGTAGATGAAATTGTTGGGGACCGTCAGTGTGCGTTTCGACATAACATATCAAATAATGATTAGATCTTTCCGTTCGTCAGATACTGGAGAAAAAATGGGAGTACAATGAAACAGTACATCAGCTATTGGTAGACTTCAAGAACGTCTATGATTCAGTTAGGAGGGAAGTATTGTACAATATTCTGATAGAATTTGGGGTACCCACGAAACTAGTTACGCTGATTAAAATGTGTTTAAACAAAACGTACCGCAAAGTAGGTAAACATTTGTCTGATAGATTTCCTATTCAGAATGGCCTAAAACAAGGAGATACTTTGTCGCCATAGCTTTTTGACTTTGCTTCAGAAAATGCCGTTAGGAATGTCCAGGAAAATCAGGTGGGGCTGAAATTAAATGGGATACGTCAGCTGTTGGTCTATGCTGATGATGTGAATCTACTGGGTGATAATGTAGATACCACAAAGAGAAGCACACAATCTTTAATTGACGCAAGTGAAGAGGTTGGTCTAGAAGTAAACACAGAGAAAACTAAGTACATGTTAGGCCGCGCCATAGCTCAAGCGGTTAGTCGCTGGCTTCCCACAGCGGCGGTCCGGGTTCGATCCCGGGTCTGGTCAAGTGGGATTTGTGGTGGACAAAGTGGCGCTGGGGTAGGGTTTCTCCGATTACTTCGGTTTCCCCTGCCAATCTTCATTCCACCAATTGCTCCACAATCACCCTCACCTATCATCTGGAGCTGGTACAATAGGCCAGAAGTGGCCGCAGTACAAGGGAATTAGTCCCACCCCACTAGCAGTAATAAAAAATATATGTTGCTATCTCGTCACCAAAATGCAGGGCAAAATCATGATATAACGACAGGTAAAAGTAGTCAGATGTTTCAACCAGTCCCAACTCAATTCAACTCAACCTAACCTAATCTAACCTAACCTAACACGTTTGTAAGCAGAAAGCAAAGCACTTTACTTACTTGTCTGGCTACTCTTTCGCCTCTGGAAATGGAGACAACATGTTCCTACTGAAACGTCGGGAAACATCTACCAGATTACACGGTCCCAGTCCCGGAAGACATTCAGCATCGTTAAGAACCTCAGATCTAGAAGACAAATGAACATAATTTAACATGTGTTTATGAAATTCTGATTCACTCTATAGGCTATGTTTGTTTTTCCATCTCCAGAGAGAAGTTCCCAATGGCAAGGAGTATGATGAAACGTTTAATGAGCAAATAAAACTAATTCTGTTGACTCGGAACAAACATTTATCTGCAGAACACCTGGCGCTATGATATGGGTCGCCATTTGAAAACGATTCCCTTGCTGGATCATTAGGCAGAGAAGTAATATACACGGACATATGAACCTTGTGCCATTACTCACACTCGAGCCCACGAGATCTCATATTGTCAAGGTGAACAGAGCAAGATCTGGACGGATACTCTTTAAGAATATTTATTAAGAGTGCTGAAGAATAGGAATATTCGGAGACATGATGGACATACGTGTACGGTCAAGGTTGGTGTACACCAGGATCTCTGTGTGGAATATAAATATGCTCGCTTCTTAGAGCAGGGCATCATTTCTTGCTCCTTCTTTAGCACCATCCTCTCATCATGGTAGCAGCAAAGATTGTAAGTCTTAAGGCGCATTTATCCAGTTTTTATTTGTACTATTCACTAATAGTTAGAAATATATATTAGCTGTAAGTAAGTAAAGCTAACCCTGTACCAGGCAGTGAAGGCCGATAGGGTTGTGAGACGTCGAGGCTCCCACATTTTCTAGACAATCGGTTCACAAATGGTGGTGAGGTTGTCAGCCTTACGCGCCGGCCGCCCTTTACCCCCAGGAATATTCATGATACTCATTTCTGTTAGAGGCTGAGTCGACCCTACGGCCATAGTGCAGCTGGAAGGATTATGTAAATTGAAAAGAATTCACCTCATATGGATTCGATACCGCGACCTTCCGGCTTGTAGCATAGTGCCTCAACCAACCACGCTACCGTGTAAATTTATATCTTAGCGCCTACAGATGGATTACAATGGGTAACGGGGGCACTTTCTCGGGGGTAAAGCGGCCGGGGCGTGAAACTGACCATTCAGCTCCAATCAGTGCCGTGGTCATGAAAATGTGGAACTATACATCCACTCCCCACGTATGTCTTCATGCCGTAGTGCTTAATTAGTTAAGCACAGGGATAACTTTACCTTTTTACCTGCAGATGGTTTACGCTGTCTGGTACATATTCATACATCCATCCTGCCTCGCGTTATTTCTCTGGTTCAGATGTAGGGACCAGCTCCAACAATCTGGCCCACAGGATTAGGGTCTTTCCTGAGAGCGGAAGCAGAATTCAGCCCTCGAAACGTTTTATATCAAAACAGGACGATGTATGAAAAGTGTACATATTTACAGTCAGAAACTAAATATCACACAAGTATGACAGTTTCAAGGTATATGAGGTACATAAGCACAAATAGCGGCTGCGCGGTCTGAGGCACGAACCATCTTCGTCAGCTTGAAAACTGGGATCGTGAGTTCGAATCCCACTCAAGGCATGGATGTCTGTGTGAATTTATTCTGTGTGTAGGTAGCGGCCTTGCGACGGTCTGATCCCCCGTCTAAGGAGTCCTACCGACTGTGTATTGATTAAGAAACTGAAAAATCGGCCAAGGTCCAGAAGGGTTGTAGAGCCATACATAAACGTTAAAGGTAAATCTGTCGCTTTGCTTAAGTAATTAAGCGTTACGTCATGAAGGTTTATGGGAGAGTGGATGTAGAGATCCACATTCTTTTGGCCGCAGTACTAGTTGGAGATTATTGGTCAGCTTCATGCTCCGGTAGCTTTACTCCCGACGAAAAAGCCCCCTGGTACCCATTCGATAGGAGGCTGACTGGCCCTAGAGCCGGTCTGGATTATACGGAGAAAAGAAAATTCTTGTCCCTACCGGGACTCGAACTCCGACTCCTAAGACGTCCAGGCCGTAGCCAGTCGCTATACCGACTGCACTAACCCGGTGCAGAGCCATACATAGATAATTTACTCCACTTTACGAAGATCATTATCAGGTAGTTAATCGATAACACAAAGTATTGCAAATTACAGATGACAAAACAATTCCGTCAGTGTGACTGTTGAAGCTTTCACTACTTCACTACTTCACTACTAGGGTACTAAGAAGTGAAGTAGTAAAAGCTTCAACAGTCACACTGGACGGAATTATTTTGTCATTTGTAACATTGTTAGTGTGACGGACCAGAATGAAACAAAGAAAAAAAAAGTATTGCAGAGATTGGAAGTGCCTTGTAATGGCTAATTATATGTTATATGACGTTGGTTCCATCACAGAATCTACTGGGGAATACTATTGTTATCGAGAGGTGGCAGCACATACAGAGTAACCAAGATAAATAAAGACTCAAAATATTCCACAATTCCGTATGTAAATCGCACCAGAAAGATGAATGTGTAATAAGCTATACAACAACACTGTATCGACTGCAGCTATTGTTTTTTTCCTTGGCGCTACAGCCCCAGTGGGCCTAGGCCTACCTCCATTCGGTAGGACTCCTTGGGCGGGTGATCAGCTCGTCGCAAGGCCTCTACCTGTACACAAACACAGAAAAACGCACACACACAAATTAACATTCATGCCCTGAGTGGCATTCGAACCCACGAACCCGGTTTCCAAGCGAGCGAAGACAGTGCATGCCTTAGACCGCTGGGCTACCGTGACCGGCGCAGCTACTGTTTAGCGGGCTCGAATTCCTTTTCCTCTTCGGGTGCAAGACGCGAGACGAGATTCGCTTTCGATATACTTGAAATATCTGGAAAGAAAGCGATAGTGGCTTTTCGGGGCACTATCTCGGAGCTCACTTGTAAGAACTGAGGAAGACCATGAACATCCTCCTACAGGAGAGTTGGTTCGCTAGACGAAATTCCAACCGCTCACACAAGGAACAGTAGTAAAAAATAAGAATTCTTCAGTCGACGTGTTCGATTAATGGAAATAAACTAATGTATTAAAACAAGGAACGTGTCTTCTAGGTTGTGAAGCCGTGTAGTTTGGCCAGAATCCGACGTTTCGGAGGAACATATCGGCTTAAGCTCTGCTTACCTCCTGTCTCTGCTGCTTTCTGGCTTGGCTTAATTCTTTACCCTGAAGACGGAGGCGATATTTCCCTTGAAATGTCTGGCCCTCTCCGAACATGTTTCGGCCATTAAATAACTATCATGGGGTGGACATACACATAACATTTCACGTATCCTGCGAAGCAGCTTAATTTACTAACCTCTGTATATACCGCTAAAGTGATAATTATGTAAGTTTCAAGATCTGAAACATTATATTGATTTTTTTTATTTTGTGTGATTTTGTACGTATATTCACCTGATAATACTCGTCTAGTGACCCAAACAGCCGGTCACAGTAGCCGCGCGGTCTAAGGCATGAAATGTCTTCGTTCGCTCGGGTGCTGGAATCGCGGGTTCGAATCCCATTGAAGGCATGGATGTTTGGTGTGTGTATGAGTTTATTCTGTTTGTGTTGTCCTGTGCTTAGGTAGCGGCCTTGCGGCGGTCTGATCACTCGTTCAAGGAGTCCTACCGTCTGTACAAAAAATGATTACGGAACTAAATAATAGACCTGGGCCCTGAACGGACTGGAAGAGACATTGAAAAAAAGAAGTGACCCAAACAAGTCATGAACTTATGAGATCTGTAGAAATAAAGCATGTGTATATTATACAATGCCGGTCACGGTAGCCGAGCGGGCTAAGGCATGCACTGTCTACGCTCGCTCGGAAGCCGGGTTCGTGGGTTCGAATCCCACTCAGGGCATGGATGTTTAGTTTGTATGTGTGGGGTTTTCTGTGTTTGTGTATAGGTAGAGGCCTTGCGATGAGCTGATCACCCGCCCAAGGAGGCCTACCGTATGTGTAAGATCTAGAAAAACCAAAGTAAAAGGAGTTCATGGAGGTAGGCCTAGGCCCACTGGGGCTGTAATGCCAAGGAAAAAAAATACTGTACAATAGGAGCTGGGGTAGCGTAGTCAGTACAGCGACTGGCTACGGGCTGGACGACCTAGAGGTCGGAGTTCGAGTCCCGGTAGGGACAAGAATTTTCTTCTGTCCACGTGGTCCAGACAGGTTCTGAATTCCACTCAACCTCATAACCAGTGGGTACCGGGGGCTCTTTCCCCGCGGGTAAAGCGGCTGGGACGTGAAGCTGACCACTCACCTTCAGCCAGTGCCGAGGCGAAAAAATGTGGATCTATATATCCACACTCCCCCATACGCCTTCACGGCACAGTGTTTAATTAGTTAAACACAGAGAGAACTTTACCTTACCTTAAACATTATGCAGTATCTATTAAACAGTTCCATACTCATTTAACTCCAGGAACCGGTAAAACACGCCATTTCAAGTCTGCATTAATAGGAGACCCACTCTCGACCAACTCCTACAACAAACACAAGAAATAATTGACTCCATACAGCTGGATTCTTCTTGAGAAACCGCCAGTTGCTCATCCACTCAAGAATTTCCCAACATTTGACGGAACCCAGAAGTTTCATCACCGTGTTCACAAGATTCCTCCGCTGGTCCCTATCCTCAACCAGATAAATTCAATCCATACCACCTTATCCTATTTCTCGAAGATCCATTTTAATATTATCAACCCACCTACGTTTTGGTCTTAATAGCAGTCTCTTTCCTTATGGTTTTTCCACTAAAAATTCTACATGGATTCCTCCCTTCCCCATGCGTGCTACACGGTCTGCTAATCTCATCATCCTTGACTTACTCTCCTTATAGAGTATAAATTAAGAAGCTCCTCGCTATGCAGTTTCAACGCTCGATTATTGAAAAACTGAAGCCGGTATTTTGGACACAGGTTGTTAGGAATAAGTGGATTCGAAACAACTAACCACGGAGCGATCTTGTACCAGAGAAACAGCCTGTCAGTTGCTCCATGGTCTCCCTTTAATGTTCCAGTTCGTCCCTTTGTGCGCACTTCTGGCCGCCGCAGTCCTGAATTCCGCAAATGCCCTCAGCTATCAACCCCAAGGTCAAGAGAAAGATTTACGGCAGGACCTGGCCCCGGGCCAGGGCCACGGTCAAGGTCAAGGCGATGATGTTTCCGGGGGTGGCCGTCAAGGTAGTTTCGGACAACAAGGAAGTTCTGGTCGTGGCGCTGGAGGCTTCCGATCTGGCGCCGCCGAAGGAAGAAGCTACGGGGGTTCCCAGTATGGCGGCCAGCCAGGAGGAGAAGACGCAAGTCGATACAATTTCCGGATCTACACGGAGCCTGAATATTACGGATATGAATCCAAGTTCCCTGGGGGGAAAGCCATGTTCAAGTCTTACCGCTCGGCTTCTCGCTCTTCTGAGTCTGGACTTGGTGAGTGCATCTCAACAAAGTTTTGCACAAATCAGAGCAGGGATAGCTCAGTCGATATAGGGACGGGAAACGCTATGGATTGCCTGGGTTCGATTCCCGGCAGAGGCAAGATTTTTCGCTTCACCAAGAGCTTTGGGGTCCACCCAGTATCCCATCCAGTGGGTACCGCGAGCTCTTTCTCTGGGCTTAAATTGGCCAGAGCTTGAAATTGACCACTGACCTCTATCCAGTGCCGAGGTCAAAAATGGTGGAGTTTTACCTCCACTCTACTATATATCTTAATGGCACGGCGCTTAATTAATTAAGCACAGGGACAACTTCACCTCTTTTCTTACTCTATTTGTTAGCCTCAGCACATTTGAATTCCACAAAATTCGTAAATATAACTGTAAAACCTTCCTAAAGAGCAGGTAACTTCGTAAAGATAGTTGTGCCTGTTCTTAATTAAGCACCATGTTATGAAAACGTATGGAGGAATGGAGGTATAGCTCTACCCATTCTTAACCACTAGACGGAAGTTATCAGGTTCACATCCTAGCCCCATTAAGCCTGGGAAAAAAGGACCCTGTATCCATTGGTTATGAGGTTGGGTGGGCCTTAGATCCGTTCTGGATGCTGTAGAGAAGAGAAAATTCTTTTGGGGAAGACCTCTATATATGTAAAAGTAAAGTTGTCCCTGTGCTTAACTAATTAAGCACTGATCCATGTAGACGTATGGGGGAGTGGATGAATAGACCCACATTTGCTTGACCTCGGCACTAGTTGGAAATGAAAGGTCAGCTTCATGCCCCGGCCGTTTTTCCTCTAGTACCCACTGCATAGGAGGCTGGGTGGGCTCCAGAGCCAGTTGAACGATTTAGAGAAGAGAGATTTCTTGAACCTACCAGGACTCGAACTCCGACCCGTCGGTCGTCCAGCCCGTAGCCAGTCTCTAAGTGATTCTAATTTTGAGGCCATAATTATGGATTTAACGTTCTCACGACAGTGCCAATGTAGAGTAATATATTCTAGGATATGACGCTGCGTTGTGTTAGAATATTACGGATTTTCGGAAGCTGCTGGTTGCTATCTTGTCTTAGTCTTAGGAGTCCTACATTTTCTTCCTCAGAGAAGTCAGTGAACTATCGAACTACATGGAATGCAATATCAGAAGACAGTACCAATCATGAACCTATTATACAGAGTGGCCCGGGAGGAAAGGTCAATATTCTGGAATGTCATAGTATCGGTCATTCCAAGTAAAAAAGTGTATATGTACATGTACCTTATTCCGAACGGTTTCCCAGTTAGGGATATTTCACTGTAGAGTTCCAAAACTGTTGATAAGAAAGATATATTACGTACTGTTTCTGATACAGGTATTTATTGTTCAAGTGACAAGTTGGTACAGTTTGCCTAGTGTAATACACTTGCGAAAATTCTACGTCAACATCAATGCACTTTGCAACTCGTGTGAGGACATGGCTTGTTGCTCGTCTGTACAGTGTACATTGTACTGTACAGGGAAATAGCTCTATCTCGGTGCAACTCGTGTGAGGACATGGCGTGTTGTTCGTCTGTGCAGTGTACGGTGTACTGTACAGGGAAATAGCCCTATCTCGGTGCAACTCCTGTGAGAACATGGCGTGTTGCTCGTCTGTACAGTGTACTGTGTACTGTACAGCGAAATAGCTCTATCTCGGTGCAACTCGTGTGAGGACATGGCGTGTTGTTCGTCTGTACAGTGTACAGTGAACTGTACAGTGAAATAGCTGTATCTCGGAAACCGTTCGGAATAGGACACATGTACATATACACTTTTTTGCTTACAATGACCGATGCTATGACCTCCCAGAATACTGATCTTTCCTGCTGGGACATTCTGTATATGGAGCCAGATAAATATAAGAAATTTTTAATTAGCAATGACGTAAGACTCTTTTAATCTGTTCATACTGCAGGTCGCCAGGGTCCTCAGAGCGAATATGGTGCCACAGGTAGGAGCGCCAAATCGTATGACAATTTTGGATCATCCGGTGGACAGCAGCCCCAGTACTGAGACCTTCAGATGACAACTTCACTGCATGATTAGTGGACCATATCTCTTACTGTAATAGGCTATAGTACAGTATAGTATATTTCAAGGTTGTCCAAATAGCAGTAGGCGGGTAACATGCAACCCACCAGGTTGGTTTTATGCAAGCCTCAGGAGTAAACTTCAGTCTTCCAAAGATTATGTCAACACTTTCTTTTAAAAAATGGTGGTGGGGTCATATCAAATGAAAACTTTATGAAAGGTCTTTACTAAATATTCCGTGTAACTGTATAACTGATTACACGATACCTAAAATATTACGGAATTTGTGGAATTCCGTTACGGTATACATTATGAAAATAATCTGACAAATTTTAAGTAGCTGGTTTCTTAACCTTTCAAGCCTGTAGCCAATGAGTACTACCAACATTTCGTAACTTGTGCTTAACTCTCAAAAGCCCAGTGGTTTCCATTTGTACCATCTGCCTTATTACTAAAACACTACATTCTACACACAGAGTGTATCTGCATGTTCCGTTTGGTTCTCACAATAAACAGCATTAACCGGTTGGGCTTTGTAGCGGAGACGTAATGTGTTTCCTGTGAGTTACGAACGAATTCTTACATAGTATTCAGGAGAAACTCAATCTTTAAAGGTCTAAAAATTAGTTCGATGTTGGGGACACGCTACTAATGTTATAATATGTACATTCTCAGCCATGCAGTCTGGATGTTGTTGTTCTGTAGGGGATGAATCTGTTTCCTACTTAATTTTAACTTGATATTACCGGGAACAGAGTTAAGTATGCCTGTTCTTGTAAAGGAGAAAGCTTAGTCCACGGCGTTGAAATTAATAAAGTTCAGAGTGGATCTTTTCTCTGCATTGTCAGAAGCAAATTCATAATTTCTTTTCTAATCTTAGCACGTAGAATTACACGATACAAAACTTCAGTTATATTCAGATTTGTTTGCCACATAGGTCCAATTCATTTTCCTGTGCTTGTAGTTTATAAATATTGATCACTGTAAAGCTGACATTTTTATCGATATATTGGAAAGAATATGTATCTGGTGTGACCCCTGAGTTATGTGAAGTTAGACAGCCCCGGTATAGTTACTCAGCAACTATGTACAATGTATATTATGCTTGTGTCGTACGGTTCTTATAAATAAAAGCGCACACGTAGAATTTGCAAATTTTCATGTGTACTTTTATGAAACTCCTAACCTCACTCATGATGTTAAGTATGAGAGGATTGCAAGTAGCCTAAGAAGACGGCGTACGTAAACTCCAGCCAATGAGAAGGTCTTTAGTGACAATTAGTCCGTAAAATTCAACAACAGAATGTATGAATTGTATTCTGTTCCTGGGTTATTTAACGACGCTTTTAAATTGCTGAGATTATTACGTTGCTAATAACGTCATGCATGATCACAGTGACTGCGCAGTCTAAGGCACGAGCTCTCTTCCCTCTCTCTAACTCTGGGATCGTGAGTTCCAATCGCACTCAAGACATGGATGTCTGTATGAGTTTATGCTGTTTGCGTTGTCCTGTGTGTAGGAGACACACAGGAGACGGGCTGATCCCCAGTCCAATGAGTCCTACCGTCTGTGTAAAAAAGATTACGAAACTGAAGAAGAGGCCAGGGCCCAACAAAGGGCTCTAGAGCCATTGATGAATAAATGAATGGAAATGAACAATGAGATGATTGAGAAACTGGAAAATATGTAGAAAGAAGATATCCTGACGTAATTTAAAAACTATCACAGCATTTATCTGCAGGGAATGATGAAAACCACGAAAAAATATGTCAGGATAGGAGGCCTGAGGATTGTGTTTGAACCCAGGACCTCAAATTCGACAATGATATTTAGTAAAACATAAGGCCGCGCCACAGCTCAAGCGGTTAGTCGCTGCCTTCCCACCGCGGCGGCCACGGTTCGATCTCGGGTCTGGTCAAGTGGGATTTGTGGTGGACAAAGTGACGCTGCGGCGGGTTTTTTCCGAGTACTTCGGTTACCCCTGACAATTTTCATTCCACCAAATTCTCCATCATCATAATCACCCGGGGCAGGTACAATAGGCCAATCAGTGGCCGCCGTGCCGAAAGATGCGTTATGGCAATATTGGCATAATTAAGTGCAAGAAGAGTATTCTCTTTTCGGATGTGACACCGTATAACCTGGTAGAAATTTATAGACTTTTCGTAGATGGCTGAAGGTTCCCAGAGTGGTCAGAGAGTAAAATGTTGCCATGGGTCCCTTGGGGCTCTGAACCAAGAATCATGCTGGCGAGGGCCAGCAGAAATTTAGCAGTCAGTCAGAAGTTTCGGAACAATGTATTACCTCCATCTTCTGGGTCAAACAATAAGCTCTGCTTTCTGTTTCCTTCTTGCTAGTTACTTGCTTTGCTTAATCTTTGGCTCTGAATGTCAAGTTAGTACGAAACAATAATAAACGCCTACCAGACTACACAGCCTCATATCCCAGAGGACAGTTCTGTTTAAGTACGGGTATACATGTATATTAAGCGGCAAATTCATAGAATATCGCTGACACAACGATCAGAACGAAGTCGGGTTGAATGCTGTGCAACTGATTTGCATTGAATTCGGATTTCGCAAATAGAGGTTTCTTAATGCCAGCTGTTAATGGCGTCTGAAAACCAGATTTCACTCTTATTTTCGCTGCAGCGTTTAATAACACAGTTTTGCTGGTCTGAACTTTTCTTTTTGTAGTGTACTCTCGTTTTCAGCGCGTGACTTAGAAAGTGGAGAGGGGGGGGATTAGGAATAGGACAGAGTTGTCCAAGTGTGAACCTCAGCTCGTGCGTGCAATCAGTGTAAGGAGCCCCCCTCCCCCCACCCTGGGCACAGAAACACCGCGAACTAGGAACAATTAACACATTACACTTCATTCCTAATCACTTTCATCCACGAAGGAATGCAATCACTTTATGTATGGAATTAGTTCAACCACCGTACATAATCACTAGGATATACGGAAGCTGTATCCCTTTATATGTATACTGTGGCTCGCGACCCATATATGGGTCGAGGAAACCAGACAGTTGTCAGACCATTTCCTTTACAAATTTATGAAACATAAAAATCCGCTGTGTAGAAGGATTATACCCAAACTCCTGTGCCCTTCAATACCCAAATGTTGGCAGCTACTCGACTGTAGTCCACCCCTACTATAATTTTAATGCACGTACATTAGCTCAGTCCGTACAGCGACGAGATACAGGCCCGATGGCCGGGGTTTGATTTCCGGCAGGGGCAAGAGACTTTTCTCTGCGGCATTCACATTGCCTCTGGTGTTCACCCAGCCTCCTATTCGGTGAGTACTGAGGGATATTTCCAGGGGTTAAAGCGGTCGAGGCGTGAAACTGATCACTCGTCTTCATCTAGCGTCGAGGTTAAGAATTGTGGAGCTATACCTCCACTCCCCCAGGGGGAAGTGGACTGATATATAGTCAGGTTACCTATACGAGGTACGACATACCACGGTTTGTAGAGTGCACAGACTTCCTCTGTCTGTACATTTGTATGTAACGTTTGGGGTGACATTAACTGCATATTGATATCATCCGATCTCAAACTTATTCGACGGTATAATCGTCAGAAATGACAACGTCTTTGAAGAGCTAAACCATAAAACTATTTCCCTGTACACATTTATTCGCCGGCCAGGGCAGCCGAGCGGTCTAAGGCATGCAATGTATTCGCACGCTCGGAAGCCTGGATCGTGGGTTGGAATCCCACTCAGGGCATGGAAGTTCAGCGTTCGTGCACGTTTTTCTGTTTGTGTACAGGTAGAGGCCTTGCGACCAGCCGATCACCCGTCCAAGGAGTCCTACCGAATGTGTAAGATCTAGAAAAACCGAAGTGGACGGAGAAGTTCATGGAGGTAGGCAACGGCCTAAATGTGGGCTGTAGCGCCAATACAAATTTATTCATGGGTTCTTTAACGACAATGTCAGTAACTCAGAGAATACAGAACAGTGTGATCGAACTTGAACTTGAAAGGATGTTAAGGAAAACTACTGTAGCATAATTAAAGATACGATCCAAGAATTTTCGTGGAAAGACTGATGAAAACCACGAAAACCTCAGTCAGGAATGTAGATGCTTGGCCGGGATTCGAAACATGCACCTCCAGAATATAAGCTGGAACTTCTACCGCTTGAGTCAACTCGCGCGTTGTTTCCTGTAAACCTCTAATGTGGCGTGCCCTCTAGAAAGCCAGAATATCTGAGCGGACGTCCATTGCTAGACAACGGCTTTGTTAACACATGTTTCCGAGACATCGCATACAGAGACGTCCATTGCTACAAAACGGCTCAGTAGCTATGTTTCCCATTCAACAAGGAATAGTGAATACCTCGTTGCTTAGGCGGCAATTGTAAACACGTAAACGCTACAACGCGTACATTGGCAGACGCTACCACGGGAATGAAGTCCAGAGCTACTGTAGTTCCCGCTGCAACGAATACCCTTCAAGAAGGTGTTTTCTGGTCCGTCCGACTGTGGAAGATAAGAGACAAAACGGAAGACCAGGTCAGAATATAGAAGACAGACCCGTCCTCTAGTCAGAGAGGGCGCCGCACAAAAACAAGAACGCAACTGTCAAACAGTAATAAGTATCTGGTCATGATCCCCAGAGGGGACTCGACACTAAGACTTATTGACTGGCTGACCGTCAGTTGAAATGTGACTTAGACTTTGACTTTGACAGATCAGAATGCAGATCAAAAAGACCAGATCGGATTTAAGATCAGAGAAGACCAGATCACTGATCAGATCAGAGACGATTGGCTAGTCAGGTCGCATCGCCTGCAAGACGCTAATTCAGAGTGACTGTAATTGTGACCCTAAAGGAGTTATCCAACAAACAGCTCCGTCTAATCCGGAATCCACAATTATTTGTCACGAAACCCCGGACACGTGACAATATTAATTCTACTGGTGCACACAATCTCGCATGTCCCCCCGATATCTGCTCAGATTGGAATGTCTCTTGTTACATAACACGTACCGGGGCCCTGTGGTGGTACGCGTAATTGTTTTTGCTCTCCTTTATCACATAAAAGGTTTACATGGCAAGTGACCTGAAGGCTATTAGTATCAGCTACAATTTTAGTAAATATACAACGTGAAAATATCTACCGTTGCGACAGTTCTAATGTCCGTACAATAGTTTCAATAAGACGTGAATTTCACACACGATATAAATTGCCTTCAAGATATGGGAACAGTAGCAGTGACACGGCGTACACACAGCAGTCACCATGTCAGCCATTATTCAGGTAATATCACGTTATTTTCAATTTTATCCTTCAAACTGGAACTGTTTTTCGGGTTCTTCAAGTCAGCCCAATAACTCACATTCCTACGTATTTTCTATTTAGATTTATGAATTCCTTTCAACCGATCAAGTAATACCGGAATGTACAGTTGTAATTNCGGGGGGGGGGGAGGGGGGAGGGGGGGGGGGGGGGGCGGGGGGTGGGGGGGGGGGGGGGAGGGGGGGGGGGGGGGGGGGGGGGGGGGGGGGGGGGGGAGGCAGAAGCCGTCGCCCTGGGCCGTCCACAAAACAGAAATGGAATCAACAGTATTTATTGAAATATTTGCTTCTCTAAAGCCATGGAATGTTAATTTGTACTTTCAGTTATAATAAGAAATAACAACAAGAAACACTATCATAAGCTGCGCTTGTTACTGACAGGGACCTCCACATTTTGATTGCCCCAAGGTGACCCTCGCAAATGTAAATCCTGCTCTGCGTATACCCCTATGTAAGAATACAATTTACAAGTTCAAAATTAAGGTGATGTTTAAAATATAAAACTTTACTGTCAACTAACAAATTTAACTTATATCCGGGACGAAACCTTGCTTAACCTAAGTCCCTCGCTGAAATACTATAAAGACTTACAAAACACAGAAGTGCACGCGGTAACGTAGTTGGTTCAGGCACTATGATACAAGCCACAAGGTCGCGGGTTCAATTACTGATGAGGTCACTGGATATTTCAATTTAGCTAATCCTTCCAGCCGCACGATAAACCTGGGGTCGACTCAGCCTCTAACAGAAATGAGTATCAGGAATCTTCCTGGGGGTAAAGGGCGGCCGGCGCGTAAGGTTGACAACCTCACCGCCATCTGTGAGCCGTGTAGAAAACGTGGGAGCC